ATTAAAGAAATTTGGCTAACCGAAATCCAACCATCCGAGAGTTGACTCAGCGAGGACAATATAGCCAACCATCCCCGTTGGAAATGCCGGCATCCCAACAACCGGCATTTCGAAGGCCAACAAAACCGTAGCCAACCGTCCCACCCACTTAGAGCCACCATAAAACCGACTGCATTAGCCCCCGACAACTGGTCCTTCCACCTGGGTGGGTGTAATGGAAGAACAAACCGCCGGAAGGGAAGGTGCTAATGTAGGGCCGACACACCTAACATCGGCACACCGAGCCAAATTGAGGAAACGTGGCTAACCGAATCCAACCTCGGAGAGTCAGCCCCACATGGACATCCCAATCGTCCACACTTGAAATGCCGGCATCCCAACAACCAGCATTTCAGGGCCCAACAGACCGATGCCCAACACCGATTCCCACCGCCAACTCAAACTACGTTAGCTCTGGCGTCCATTCTTGATGCTTGTGGGTGGGACACTAGCCGAACGAGGCGCCAAGGGAGGGAGTGAGCTAACGCAGGGCCTAGCAAGGGCAAAAACCAAGCCTTTTAAAACCAACCAAAAAAACCTTCACGGACCATACCCCCCCTATATATGCTTAAAAAACATAAACCCAAGTTACAGCAGTAGATACGATTTTGCTGTAGAGTCACACTGACCAAACAAGCCCCAAATTCGAACACAAAGCCAATTCCCCATCACAACCGGTAACCAAACATCATTCTTAGGTCATAATGATATGCAAAACACTCTAACAAACATTTGGATGGACGAAAAAGCAATAGCCAAAACGGTAAAAGCAGTGGTTCTCACAAAGCCCACACTTCAAAAACAACAAGTGAAAAACAAAAGTCATGCCACCAAAGTTTGAGTCCGGATACAAAAGCTATATGAACTTGTTTAATGGCATTTTGCTTTGCAAACAACAAAAAACAAATAGAAAAAAGCGGGAATGTAAGGATGCCACAACGAGGGTACAAAAAAGAGGAACCATTGCAAACAAAGGCGTAGCCCACCATATTGAAAAGGATTTCACGGCAAGTTTTCGCTGCTACAGCAAGGATCAAACCTAGCCATGAAAACCAAATACATCTCACACACAATTACGCATCGCAAACTTCATACACACCGCACAACCCACCAACAGACCAAAGGCCAAGTTTTTAACTCGGCAGTCAGCCCACCAGCAAATGCCTAGTGCCCACGACAGTCGCATCGAATAGTGCCATGCAAGACCGAACAAAACCGTAGCAAACCGTCCCACCCACTTAGAGCCACCATAAAACCGACTGCCATAGCCCACGGCAACTTGTCCTTCCACCTGGGTGGGTGTAATGGAAGAACCAAACGCCGGATGGGAAGGAGCTAGAGCAAGACCAACACACCTAACATCGGCACACCGAGCCAAATTAAAGAAATTTTGCTAACTGAAATCCAACCTTCCAAGAGTCGGCTCAGCAAGGACGAAAGAGCCAACCATCCCCGTTCGAAATGCCGGCATCCCAACAACCAGCATTTCAAAGGCCAACAGAACCGTAGCCAACCGTCCCACCCACTTAGAGCCACCATAAAACCGACTGCATTAGCCCCCGACGCCGGTTCATGGGTGGGTGTAATGGGAGAACCAAACACCGGAAGGGAAGGAGCTAATGCAGGTCCGACACACCTAACATCGGCTCACCGAGCCAAATTTAGGAAACTTGGCTAACCGATATCCAACCTCGGAGAGTCAGCCCCACAAGGACATCCCAATCGTCCTCGCTTGAAATTCCGGCATCCCAACAACCAGCATTTCGGGGGCCAACAGACCGATGCCCAACACCGATTCCCACCGCCAACTCGAACTGTGTTAGCTCTGACGTCCGTTCTTGTTGCTAGTGGGTGGGACACTAGCCGAACGAGGCACCAAGGGAGGGAGTGAGCTAACGCAGGGCCTAGCAAGGGCAAAAACCAAGCCTTTTAAGACCAACCGAAAAAACCTTCACGGACCATACCCCCCCTATATATGCTTAAAAAACATAAACCCAAGTTACAGCAGTAGATACGATTTTGCTGTAGAGTCACACTCACCAAACAGGCCCTAAATTCAAACACAAAGCCAATTCCTCGTCACAACCCGTAACCAAACATCATTCTTAGATCATAATGATATGCAAAACACACTAACAAACATTTGGGGGGACAAAGAAGCAATAGCCAAAATGGTAAAAGCAGTGGTTCTCCGAAAGCCCACACTTCAAAAACCACATGTGAAAAACAAAAGGCATGCCACCCAAAATTTGATTTCCAGATACAAAAGCTATATGAACTTGTTTAATGGCATTTTTCTTAGCAAACACCGAAAAAACAAACGGAAAAGAGCAAGAGCCAAGCCTTTTTTTAGCCGACCAGAAAAACCTTCACTGACCATGCCCCCCACTACATGATGCAACGATAGCCGGCATTCCCCAAGCGAGCATGTGAAAACATGATCATGCCCACCGATGTCACATGGGTGCGCAGGAGGTAACACACGGCCTAGCAAGGGTAAAAACCAAGCCTTTTAAAACCAGCCAAAAAAAACTTCACGGAACGTACCCCCCCTATATATGCTTAAAAAACATAAACCCAAGTTGTAGCAGCAGATGCGATTTTGCTGTAGAGTCACACTCACCAAACGGGCCCCAAACTCAAACACGAAGCCAAATCTTCGTCACGGCCCGTAGCGAAACATCATTCTTGGATCATACAAATATGCAAAACGCATTAGCAAACTTTTGGGGAAGTAGCCCCTTGGGGTGTCCAATTTTTGGTCATAACTTTTGCTAGGAGTGTCCGTTTTCAGCGTGCGACCACTTTCTGGAAAGGACTCAACGAGACGCACAGGGGGCCGATGGGGCGGAGCCCATCGGCCTTCGGTTATGACCTCAAATTCACTTGTTTAGGCCGCCATTTTGTAGTTTTATTGTTTCTGGGCCTATGGCCTGCTTTTTGTTCAGCCCATTCATTTCTCATTCCTAGGCCGGCTTGTGGGGTTCTTTCATTCACAATTTACTTTTCATATTGTATCATAATCCTAGCGTGGAGTTTTCCCCTAGACATTATTCTCTTTCCCTCTTATTCGTTGTTCTCTTCATTCTATCCATACACCTGGATTCAATTCGGCGTCATCTGGTACCAGAGCTCAGTTCGACGAAACGAAAGATCATCCTTCATCATCAATGGTGCGTGCACGAGTTAGCGGCCTTGGATGACTCCAAGGACGACTAGTTGAGCACTAACATCTTCCACACTGCCTGGTCTCAAAAATTGAGGGCCCGCGTACCGTGCATTGTACGGCATTTCGAAAACAAATCTTGCACTAAGGCA